GCACGAGCGCGCGGGCGGGCGGGTGTCTGGAAGGGGCCCGGGGTCCCCGCGCTGCCCGCCGAGCGCAGCCTTCGCGCCAGGCCCTGCCACGGCCGAGCGGGTCTGGCGCGGTAACACACGAGGAAATTACTCGCGGGCCTCGCTGGGCAGAGGGGCATCCCTGGGCTGTGGTTCAGGGCGCTCTCCGACAAAGTGATTTTGTTCACACTAATCTCTCCCTGTTTCCCCGTGCCAAGTTCCCTTTGCTGTTGGGATCGGTACCGAGATCCTGCGTAACGTCCACAGAGATGTCCGTCCCCGCACACACGGTTCTGCCAACTCACAGGCTGGTGGGACTCTCCTCGCTTCCCTGGGGCTTTGACCGTTTGCTTTTACGGTGTCATAACCCAGAGGTTACTTGTCTGAGTGGTGGTTAAGAAAAGTACCTTTTTATTTAACAGCAGACACCAGGCTTGAGTATGTATTCAGTTGCAGTTTATCTCTTAAAGCCTGAGGCAGAGCATATATTTGAGTGTTTTATCTGTGACCTCTACAAACTGCAGCTGTTTTGGTATGCAGAATAATTTTTTTTGGTTACTCTTTTCTGAATTGCCGGTTGTGCATTGTTGAATCCTGGTCTATGGCTGCTAGTCAGCCTGCAGGGAATTTTCTTGTTTAGTACCTGTTTTTTTCATTGTTGCCAGTCCCCGAAGTGATCCGAAGGTGGCATAGAATGGTTCCTGGTGTCTTCATGGGCTGTGTTCTTCTTTAGGTTTCAGAGGAGCGTGTTGGATCTCTCCTTACAATGGAGATTTGCCAGACTGCCCAACAATGCCAAGCTGGAGATGGTGCCAGTCTCTAATACAGTGGGAATTCAAAACACGGTATGTTCGTTTCACAGTGTGACCCAATTTGTTGGGTTTTCAGTCGTGCTGGACATAATCTGGTCAGATCTAATGACCAAGAGTATGGTTAGGCTTGGCCAGTGCTTGAGTGGAAGACCACCCAGAGACTGGTTGAGGTGTGGTGGAAAATGGTAATTTAGTAGCTGGAAATCTTTGCTTACAGTCTGTGTGATGGTGGAGTTCCAGCTGTGTGCTGGAGGATAGGGACATCTTTTGGGAAGCTGAAAAACGGGTAGTCATGAATGTATAAGAAGTCAAACATCACGGATGACTTCACTCCAGCAGCTGAGCTACTAACTCAGTTCCCTTTCGTAACCTCTATTTCAGTCACTGTTGTCTGCCTCTGGATTTTGACTAAAATCTGAAATTGTTACAGGAGTCTCTTTTGCCTCTTTCCTAGTGTTGCTATTCACAGTGTGTTCACACTGTGTCATGTGTGCTATGTTTAGCAGTTGCCAAATGTCCCTATTTAGTATAATTTGCAAAGGGCTTACGGATACCGTGTTCTGCAGGAGTTATTGTCACATTTAGGAGATACAAAATTTTTTTATGCATGTCATTATAACAGCTGGAGGCATGATTTAAAAAATGGTGCATAGATGATGTATGATCTTATTTAAGTGGCCTGGGTATGAAAACTTGTCTGTCACTAGCAGTCATCTGATTTCCTTATATGGAGTTTCTCAATTTTTTGGAAAGTTTCAGGTCTATTGGTGCTCATCTCTTAATGTCTCTCTTCCAAACTGTGTTAGTGGTATTTTGTTACCTTACAATTGCCTTAGCTGTCACAAAGATAAACTGATATATACATTGAAAAGTGACCTTTGTAGTTTGAGAAGGTTTTGGAATCTCTGCTCAAGTTCACTGTGGGTGTGCAACGTAGTTTTGAAGGTCACTAGTGTCCATGGTTTTCTCTGTAAAACCTCCATGTGCTTCGTTTTGGCACTAATGTTTTCTTTCTGACTTTGTGGTATAAAGAAGTTTGTGCTCCAAGTGACGTATTTAGTTAAAAAAATTCCACAAGCTGGTAGCATCTGCTTAAAATTTGCAGTTAAAAAAAAGCTGTCATGGCATGGAGTTCGTCTTCCAGAGGAAAGTATTTCTGTTAAAATGGTACAGTGCTGACTTTCCAACATTTGCGTCCAGTTTGGGAGGTATTGTACTGAAGGAAAACATGGAATTTTTTTTTTTTCTTCCCAAGAAGGTATATGGAGCTTACCAGAAATGATGAGAAGGACCGTGTACTGTAGGAGAGGGGTTATAACAGGGAATCTTGACTTTACATCACAAAGGAGAAGATCTAATGAAAGCTTAAGTTGTTATGGTTTAGTTGTATTTCAACAGAAGAATCTACAAAAGTGAGGCTTCCTTTGGAGTGCTCGTTGCTACTTTATGGAGTTGAGAAGGTGGAGCAAATATGCTTGTGAAGTGGTGCGGTCTAAACAGAGTTGCTGTCCCCTAAATGAGGAACAGAGATTTCACTTGAAAGAATTTTTCAGACAGTATTAGAAAATACTTTGTACAAAATACAATTGATCAAAAGAATTCCCTGCCACAGGGAAATAGTGTCAAATACTGTAGGAAGTTTAAAACAGCCGGATAACTCTGTGACTAGAACTGGCACTGGAATTATGCCCTGATATAGTGGCAGCTGAGATGCAGACTCAGTCATGCAGACTGGCTGCAGTCGTGTTGGGATGAATTCCATTCTGTGCCTTTTGTTACTGTCTCTTTTGTTGAGATAACGTACGTGGAAGTTGGTGTGCGTTCCTGGGGTGTGTTGGCAGCAGTTACCCCTACCTACAGAATCAGGATTTGATAAACCACGAGTTTGTTCAGCAAATCTGGTATGTTTAAAATAGAATGCTTTTGGATTTGCCTTCACATGTGAAAATTGTTGCTTCCTGTAAGACATTTAGAGAAAAATGGAACAAATTCCCTTTGTGTTGGCAGGTAATCTAGGGGTACCATCAGTACGGTTCTAGTGTTAGAGTTGTTGGCCTTTTGTTTATATGTTTGTAAACTTAGAAGATAATTGGCACTGGTCTCTCTATTATTTTGTATAGAGCTTGAGATTTTTAAAAAGACTTTTCTAATTGACTGAATAGGACTTTCGTGACATGCTTCGCTTTGAACTGGTGCCCAAAAACTGATGCAACTGGTAGTTTGAATTTCTGGGCTGGAGTCTTACAAAATGGTGATGTCAGCTGTCATCACTCTGCTGTAGCTGAGAATAATCTAGGGCTTGTCTCCAGCATAGCAAGAACCAGGAGGTTGTGTCAGTGGTGGGATGAAACGACTTAGTTCTATTGTCTGGTTGTTGATGATGCCACTGTTTCCTTTATGTAGAAAAATTCCTGTCTTTAGCAGATCACAATTTGCAGTCCTCCAAGGGCTGGTAGGAGCTGAGGCAGCTGACAGATATATTCCTCCAAGGAAATCACAGTTGGTTGCCAGAGTGCGTGGTGTCTATTTTTTCCCATCTCTCCCGCTCTGTCCCCCTCATGCTCTCACACATCACCCCCTCCCCAGGCTCTCACAGGGAGAGGATGCACTGGGATTGTTGGTAGGAACACGTGAAAACACAGAATGAAAGAAACCTTCTGCTGATGTTCTAGGCTTATGTCCTTCTCAGACTTTTGAATAAGGCCGATTTCTGTGGACTTCAGAAAACCATAGTTGACTAGAGACACTCTTTTTTTTTTCTCCTTACTTTTCTTTAGATGAGTGAGCTAACTGGGAAAACTTAGAGTTAGACATTTTGAAAAAGACAGCTGAATATTCTGTAAAAGGTAAAGATAACACTAAAAGTACTCTGCCATTCTCCATATCTTGATCAGCTGCTAGACTTTTGCCTTGGGGCCACCAGGAGTTTGAAGTTCTTCAGGACTGTCCTCAGTGTGTTCATTTTAAAAATGCCTTGGATTTTTTATTATTTTTTTTAGTAGCAATTCTCTGAAGAATATGTAGGATCTGCATGAGCACCTGCTAATGAACATGAATGTTCACATTCCAGGTTGGAAAAGGCCTGTCAGAATAGGCACCTAGCTTTCCTTTGCCTTTTTCTTCAGGTGTTTAAGAACTTGGTAACTTAATGTTCAGAATAAGTTTTGAGATTTTATATTAATTCACTTTTAGATTGTATGTCAAAATTTTGTGGTTAGGAAGCATTAGTGAGTTTTGAGTTACACATGTAGTCTCTTTGGACTCATAATAGTTGCTGAGGTCTTCCATAACTCACAGATAGATTTGGACTGTGTTAATTGTTTCTCCGTGTGGATGTGCAAGCATGCTGTTTGTTGTGCCTCAGAGAAGTTGTTCTGCAGATCGATGCGTAAGTCAACAGAGCTCTGGGTTGGTGTTTTAGTTTATGCAGCTGCATCAATACTGTCTGGGTTACTGGACTTCGTTTTGCGTAGCTGCGAAGACTCTTGTCTGTAAAGCTTCAGCTAGTGTGAAACAGAACACCTCAGTTGCTCGTGGTGAGAGGTTATCTGGGACGCTTGCATTGGCCTTTTTCTGGATGTGCTTCAGTTCAGGATAGGGCAGGTGAGAGGGGCCCAGGAAAGCTGGTTAATATTCAAGGATGGCCTCCTCCACACTCAAGAGCGGATCTTTCCAACAAATAGGAAGTCAGGCAAAAATGCCAGGATGCCTGCATGGGTGAACAAGAGCTCCGGGCCAAACTCAAGACACAAAAAGGAAGCATACAGAGTGTGAAAGCAAGGATGGGTAACCTGGAAGGATTAGAGAGACCTTGTCCAAGCATCCAGGGATGAAATTCGGAAAGCGTAAGCCCAGCTGGAATTCAGTGTGGCCAGGGATGTCAAAGACAACAAGAAGGGCTTCTTTAAGTCCGTAGGTGGCTAGAGGAAGACTAGGGGAAACATAGGCCCGTTGCTCAACGAGGCAGGGGACTTGGTTACACAGGACATGGAAAAGGCTGAGTGCCTTCTTTGCCTCAGTCTTTAGCAGCAAAACCAGCCTTCAGGAATCCCAAGTCCCAGAGACCAAGGGGAAAGGCTGGAGCAAGGAAGGTGCACCCTTGGTGGAAGAGGATCAGGTCAGGGAATACCTGAGCGAACTGAACGTACGTAAGTCTGTGGGCCCTGATGGGATGCACGCATGACTGATGGGGGACCTGGCAAGTGTCATTGCAATGCTGCTCTTGTCTTTGTTTGATTGTGGTGACTGGGATGTGCCTGAAGACTGGAGGAAAGCAAAGGGCAAGAAGGAGGACATGGGGAACTACAGGTGAGTCAGCCTCACTTCGACCCTTGGGAAGGTAATGGAGCAGCTAATCCTGGAAACGGTTTCCAGGCACATGAATGACAAGAAAATCATCAGGAGTAGCCAGCATGGATTTAACAGGGAAAGTCATGCTTGACAAACTTGATAAGCTTCTGTCTTGGTTTTGACTGGGACAAAGTTTTTCTTTTTAGCAGCCAGAAGAGCTCTGTGTTTTGGATTTAGTCTGGAATTCGCTATGAGAAGAATGCTGACAGCACACTGATGTTTAGAGCTGGCGCTGAAACCTCAAGGACCTTTCAGCTTGCCGTGTTTTTGCCAGTGTGCAGGAGCACAACAGGATAGGGGGAAACATGGCCGGGACAGAGGGTCCGCAACTGCCCTTATGATTGGAACTAGACTTAGGATTGAGGGCCAAATTGGCCAATATGGAGTATTGCATCTCGTGCAACATCATGCCCAGTGTATAGATGAGGGGTGATCGGAAAGAAAGGCCTTTGCTCTTCTGTGGGCTCTCACTCTTTGGAGTACTGTGTCTCTCTTGTTCTTTTTTTTGGACCTCTTGCTCATCCAGGATTGTGGTGTTGGGACTTACCTGTTTTGGGATCATATGCTGGGATGGGACAGGCACTGGTCTCTGGGTGATAAGCAGTTACACTGTGCATCGCTTGTTTGTATAGGTTATTATCATTATACGTATTTTTTTCCATACATTATAATTGTTAAATTGATCTTATCTCAACCCGCGAGTCTCCTTCCCTTTTCCCCTTTAATTCTCTTCCCCATCCCCTGGGGGTGGGGGAGAGTGAGCGAGTGGCCGTATTGCCAGCCGGGATAAACACGACAGTTCCATGATAAAGTGACTGACCTGGTAGGTGAGGGGAGAGCAGTGGATATTGTCTGCCTGGGTTTCAGTAAGGCCTTTGACGCTGTCTCTCAGAAGATCCTTGTGTAACACTCCCGTTCATAGCAGGACAGAACTGTTAGAGATACCAGCTTCTGAAATAATCATTTGAACACTCCTTTGCGTTTTTAACTAATGTAATCCTTTACAGACAGTGTTTAGAAGGAAGTCATGTTTTTTTTTTGGATACCAGGTTCTAGAGATCATTGAAATATTCAAAAAGGTTTTTGTGAAGGAAAAAAAAAGTTCATTCAATTTTCAGATTAATTCAGTGTTTATTTTTCCTATAGGTTCGGATCGCATTACAGTTAGATGATGGCTCCCGTGTACAAGACACCTTTCCCTGTCAACAGACTTTGTGGGAACTTCTCAACCATTTTGCAAAGATCAGGTGAGCAGTGCAGTTGAGAAAATACTTGTTTGGATAGATCTCAGTGTGCCCGTAGTTAGTTGTTGTTACGGTTATCCACCTAAATCCTGCAGATTTGCAGAATTTGCGTTTATTTGTTTTTTCTTTTACAACGCAGATGTTTGCCTTTTCCTCACCCTTTCTTTGACACTCCATAGTTTCATTATTATTTTTTTTTAATCCTGGAGTAGCACTCCTGGTTCAGGGCATAAACTGGTAGCAAACTGCGAAGGCAAGGAAGAAACTGTAACTGGATGTATTGCTGCACCTGTCTTTTACACAGACTTGTTTGAAGTCAAGTTACTGCCAGAGCTGAGATAGCAGCCTGGGTTATCTCGGTGGCCGGTATTTCTGTGCTGCAGTTCCATGTGGTGGAGGCAATTCTCTCTTAAGCGAGTTGCTGTTGCTTTTGAGGCTTCCTGTGCGAGTTCTTCAAGGAAATCCGGAGCTCTCAGCAGGCTAATGTGGAATCTTCAAAAGACTGATCAGATCCTGTTTAAATGGAAGAATTTCTGGTCCTACATTTATTGCATATATACATGGGTTAGAAATCTTACTACAGTCTAGTCTACTTTCAGTGCTTTCTTTTATCTTTAGTTTTGACTTTAATGTACTGTTTTGTTTTGAAACGTCAAGCTAATAAACTTTTCTCCAAAGACAATTCTTTTATTTTTGTCATGGCTTGGAAGATGAAGTCTTGAAGCTGTGACAGCCATTCTATTCTGAACAGAATTTCCAAATTTCTTTTTTTGTATTGTAGTTGGCTTTACCTTTCTCTTGATAAAATGCTTTTTTCAGATCCTGTATTTCTAGCTTGTTCTTTCTCTTACATTCCTCACCTTCTGCTAGTTGCTCTCTTGCATATGAATCTCTTGCTCATCTGTACAGATGCGGTGCTATGATATTGTGCAAATTTGAACTACTCCTCAAACCACTTAAATACTCATATAAAGAGACAGTAGCTTTCTGCGTCAAAACGTTTGAAGTCTCCAAGGCTGTGGTACTAGAAAAGCTACGGAATGAGCAGTCAGTAGTAAGGGTGATGGTGCAGGAGCACTCGTAAACTCAGCCTTTGAGGGTACGGTTACAGGATGCAAAATGATGGATTTGTCACCTGCTAGCTGAGCTGCAGTCATCAGCTAGTTACAGATACATGTCAGTACTAGACTAACATGTGTTAGCATAAAGTGCTTTAAATTTCAGTGAAGTTGATTGTTCTGCACTGCACTTCAAACAGGCGAAGCAGCGTGGTTCTGGAGTTGAACTGGCTAACGTTATCTGGTGAAGTCAGAGTCGTATGGCTAAACCGTGACTGGAGTTGCTCCAGAGCTGTTTGCAGGGTGAAGGAGCTAATTCTTCTAGCCTCCCAGTAATGGGCTGTGACTTTTCTGCTAGTTTAGCTCCCTGGCTGGCCCGTAACAAGATCAAAGGAGTGACTAATGCTGGCCCAAGGGAGGGAGTGCGGATTGGGGCGTCTTCTGTGTAGCAGTTGGGGATTGAACCGTTAGTGCTGCCCCTCTCCCTCATACTGGTTGTGCAGCTTTGTGGGGAATTGGCTTAAGTAGTTGATTAAGCTGAAAAATAGTATTTTGCCTACATTATCTTTCAGGTAGGTGAGTTTTCTAACCCAGTTAAGGGTCGTCTTTCATAGGCGTTTATGACAAGAAGTGTGGCATGTCTGGAAGCAAGGATCTGAAAGGAGGAAGCTGCAGATGGATAGGAATGGCATACGTCAGTTTTTCTACTCAGCATTTTGCATCATCAAACCATAGTTTGCGAAAATGCTCTAGGTAGTCTAGTGACTCTAACGTGATATAAATTAATCTTACTTATCAATCTCTTTTCGTCTTTGATGGTCAGGGACCGGGTCTGCACTGTGGCATTAAGTCAAAAAGGACGGTCTTCATGTAAATGCTAGAGAGAAAAGAGTTCTTTTTCTTTTGATTGAGGAAGGAGGTAGGTGAGAAAAGCCTGATATAGTTTTCCTGGGTGTTTTAAGGCCCCTCTTGTACCTTACTACATACTTTGGGCTGCGAAGAGTGCCCATTGCAGTTTGGGAACTGCTAGACTGGAGGGGGGTGGTAATCATGGACAGTGACAAATGGCCTTTGTGTGGCTTTCTCGCACATTAGTTGGTTCTTTGGTTTAAGTTTTTAGCTTTTTATATAACTTTGCTCCTTTGGAGTGGTTTTATTTCTTGCAGGTTATTGTAATACTAATAGTTAATGTACATGCTGCTCTTTTTAAGACTAACTGCTACAGTGTGCTGAGCATTATTAACTTCAGTTCATAAGACACAACTATGCTTTTCTGCCCGCTGGAAGCTGAACTCACATGTTTGGATGGACTTTGCAAACTTTTAAGTTCAACAAGCAGCAAAGATGCTGTGTGTGACTTAATCACAAAACAAGCTGGATCCATCCATGCAGATTTCATGGGCTGTGCTGCTTCTCGGTGCGTATTGACTCCGTTGACTGACTAGTCAGCTAGTTGTTGGCTTTTGCTGAATCCTTCCTTTGACTTTCCAACTGGAGACGTTTTCCTGGAATGCTCAGCTGCTCTGAGTGCGTGAGGGGAAGTATTCTAAATCCACTGGAATTTCCCCTGGGTTTCCAGCGTCCATCTTGGCTAATTGGGTCTGAAGAAGTCTGGAAGCTATTGTAAGGCTGCTCCTCCTCTCAGCGTGCGGCAGTCCTTGCACAAGATGTTTACAGGCCCTGTCAGATCACTACATGAAGGAATCTAATCTGCTTGCCGTTCCCCTTCTGAAGAACAGCACATCAAAGAAATGACAGTGTGTTTGATGTGTGTGCTTGCCTCAGTGAATGCATGTAATGGATTAACAGCAGCTGGAGGAGGAGCCTGCTGGCTTCCAAGAGTTACACAAAAATAAGTCTCTGGGGGATCTTTGCTTGGAGTCTGTTCTGCAGAGACTGGTTGAGGGCACGAGTATTGTGTACCCTTTTAGCATTAGGACTGGGAGAACTGGAACTGTTGCTTTTCTGTCTCCTACTCTTGCCTGTCTGGCAACTTCTGCAACTTTGTAGACTGTTTTACATAGACGTGATTGCAGTCTGGACACTTGAAGACAGTTTTGACAATGACTATGACTCTTCGTTACTTTTGTGGTATCATTCATTAAGTTCAGATATTTTCCATACATTTTTTAGAAGGCTCTTCAATCCAAAGAGTTGCTCAAATTGAGAAAGCAGTTTTGGAAAGATGAATGAAACTAGGTTGCGTAAGTCAAGTTGGTTTCCTCTCTTACGGGTTTGTGTGGTGAGGATGTGTTCCATTGTGCCTTGGCTTCTCTCATCCTAAATGGTGATCATCCACCTTTCCTGACAGATAGGCAACTTCAGGTTCAATATTTTATCCCTGTAGGCTGTTTCATCTGCCTTTGCTGTGATTCTGTACTTTTTCCTCCATGTCTCAGCAGTCCATTATCTTTTGTGCACTTTTATTGAGGATTCCTGTAGGAATACAGCTGATGCTGATTGGGATGACTAGCTCTCCTGGATTGTCTGGAAAAGTCAGAGTGCACATAGCCTGCTGTGATGTGCTGAAGGTAGTCTCTTTTAGGTATTCTTTTGTTCCAATCTTCCAGTCAAGAGACAAGATTTTTTTCTGCCTTTCCTTATCAAGCGTTGCCATTGGAACTTACTTGGTTACTGCTGCAAAAGGAGTGAGGGAGGTTGGACCTGGCTCTTGGATTGCAGGATTGCACTCATTTTGTATTAGGAACTTAATCTCTTGACTCACGCAGAGCATTATATGTGGCTTGTTGGCTTTGACAGAGAATAACTAATTGCACAACCACAGATGGTGGCTGACCTATTCTAGTATTGTTTTGATTGTTCATCTTGAGTTAGAAAGTTAACTGTGTTTCATAATCCAAAGCTTGAATGTAATAGTTTGGATGCTCCGGGTGCATCTGTCGCTTTCTGCACAATGGGATTCGGTGCAGTGGCTGGGAGTTTTCTGAAAGAGTGGTACCTCTGTTATCTGTTGCAGCCGGTCTGGAAGTCATTCTCAGCCCATGGCTTCCCCAAGCCAGACCTCGCTCTCAAGACTGGTTTTGCAGGTTGCTTGGTTTGGATCCACTAACTCTAGTGAGTAGAGCTTCTCAGTTTCATTGGGACTCGCCTTGTCCCGTATCACCATGCTGTTGCATGCTTTATTTAGAAAGACTTAGGTTTTAACTTTTAGATCAAGACGGGAGATAGACTGCTACAGTTCAACCAAACAGAAGTCTCAATTCTGGTCTGTGCTTAACAGGTTTGCTCCCCCACATCCTCCAGCTAAAACTCTTCAGTGTGCCCTTACTCTTGAGTATTACTCAACGATTTGAATGTCATAATTTTCCAGGTGGCATTCTCGATCCTGACTGACTTCTGATTCCAGCTACTTCACTTACGTTTCATTGGAGCTGGGTTTTGAGTCTAAATGTCGATGTCCTTGATGGTTTTTCCTGGAACTCTATGGCTGTTTCTCTTAATTTCTACTCTGTAGGCTGGTTGACTCCCTCCCTGTTCAGTTTTTTATGTCACTTTGTGCTGGGCTAAGTACATTCATGTTAAAATATTATGTAAGGCATTGATAGTATATATATTCTTTTAAGCTGCTCATCTGCGACACATTTTGGACATAATAGGCTACGTAAGATAATATTGGCAAAGCTATTGTTAAGTAACTGAACGTTATGATGACACTTAAGATTATTGGAACTGCTGCATTGGGAGTTGTTAAGATGCCTTTGGGTATGCAGACTCTTGTCTTCTGCTGTGCAAGCAGATTGCTGAAATGTTAAGGGTTATTTTCTTTGCTTCTTACCTGAACAGAAA